TGTCTCACCACATTTTTAAACACTTCGTCAAATATACTCCGCTGCGTGTCGTACTAGTTTCAACTCTCTTTTCAGTGGTTGGAAATGTTTTAAAGGATGGTCTAATGGATTTCATATTTTACTTTTTTCATTGCTACTTGTGCTATATTTCCGTACGTCACACTTAAATGCTACTTGACGTTTAATATTTCTTAATATTTCACAATTTTTTCATCTCTTTAAACGTGCCTTTCTATTCCCAGCACCAAAGATAACTACTACAGTTGGTAAGTTTGAAATCAGTGTCTAAAAAATCCGTTAAAGCTTTTTGTGTTTTAATATTATTGGGTTTTCGAGTTTTTTTTTTATTTGAAGTTCCAGAGAAAACTACCACAGATGGCAAGTTTGTTTTATATGTTGCTTGGAACGTGATTGGGATTTTCCTTTCAATCTAATTAACTTTGGGATTTTCCAATTCAGAACCGTCAGAACCAGAGGTGACTACTACAGAAGGTAAGTTTGGCATCGGTATTGTTTTAAGTTGGTTTTGAACTTCTGTTTCCATCTAACTAGCTTTTTTTCCTGTCATTCTACTTCTAACAACAGAGATCACTAATAAAGATGATCAGTTAGGCATCGATATTGCTTAGGATTGGTCTTGTTTTCAATTTAACTCATCTTTCGATTTTTTTCTATTTCCAGTATCAGAAACAACTAGCACAGATGGTAAGTTTCGCATAGATGTTACTCAGAATTGGATTAGACTTTTGGTTTTAGTCTTTCTCGTTTTACATTTCCCGGACCAGAGATAACTGCAACAGACGGCACATTGGCATAGATGTTACTTAGAATCTCAATCGGGTTAAACTATGAATTCTGCCTTTTCTATTTTCAGCACCAAAGATGACTACATCAGATGGTGAGTTTTGATACCGATATTACTTATTTGAACACTTTTGTTTTCTATATAACTTATTTCTCTTACTTTTCCATTTTCAGCACCAGAGATAACTACTGCAGATGGTAAGCTTGGCGTAGATGTTACTTTGAATGAGATTAGACGTTTGTTTTTAACCTGACATATTTTTCGCGTTTTTTCTTTTACCAGCACCAGAGATAACTCCTACAGATGGTACGTTTGGCATGAATGGCTTGGATTTGGTTTCAGCTTTTATTAATCAATATATCTCAATCAGACAATCTAATCTATATATCTTCTTGTTTTTCCTCTTCCAGCACCTGAGATAGCTACTACAGATGGTATGTTTGTCAAGATGCTAATTAGAATTGGATTAAAATTTGTGATTCCATCTAACTTATCTTTCCTGTCATTATATTTCTAGCACCAGAGATAACTAGTACTACTACAAGTGGTAAGTTTGGCTTCGATATTACTTAGTTTTACGTGTTTTTTTTTTTAAATCTAACTTATCCTTGATACTTTTCCATTTTCAGCACCAGAGATAGTTCCGACAGATGGTAAGTTTGTCAGAAATTTTATTTACCTTGTTTTTCCACTTTCAACTGAGATAACTACTTAAGGCGTATTAAAGTTTGGCATAGATACTACGGCTTAGAATTGGTATACACTTTTTTTGTTCAATATTATCTATATTTCTTGCCTATCCAATTTCAGCAACAGAGATAACTACTACAGATGGTACGTTTTGCAACAATGTTGCTTAGGATTGTTTTGTTTTAGTTTAAGTTATTTTTCGATTTTTCTTGTTTTCATTTTCAGCATCAGACATAACGACCACAGATGGTACGTTTCGCATACGTGTTACCTGGACTTAATATACATGTTATTGGACTTAATTTTTGTTTTTAATTTAATTTATCCCTTTTTCCTTCTGGAACAAAGATAACTGTCACAGAGTGCAATTTTGGCATAGATATTACCTATAATTTCAATTTGTTTATGCTTCTATAATCAGTGTAACCTTTCTTTCTCCCCTTTTTTTAATTTTAGAACCAGAGATAACTGCTACAGATGGTAAGCTTGGCATCGATATAACTTAGAATTGTTTTGTTTTCTTTAGTTTTCAAACCATCATATCTTTCGTATTTTTGCTTTTTCAGCACCAGAGATAACTACCTCAGATGGTAAGTTTAGCATCGATGTTACTTTTGCATTTAATCCATCTTATTCTTTGTAATTTTCCATTTTCAGCACCAAAGATAACTACTGCAGATGGTAAGTACAGTTTGCATAGACACTACGGCTGAGATTTGGTTTAAACGTTTCCTGTTCAATGATATTTACATTTCTTGCCTTTCTAATTTCAGC